TGGGAAAATTTGCTTCGGGTTGCGAACAAATCGGGTTGCGACCGGAGTCACGGAACGGATTAAATTTGTAACCCGATGTACCACTGTATTGACAACTACACAGAAACAAAATGTCCAGAAACAACTGTAACTACATTCAGTTGTGAAACATCATTGCTTGCACCCAAACTACTGCATACCAGAAAGTTGAAAGAAGAGTGAAGCAGTGAGGTACAAGAAGAGCTACAACAATGCTCAGTACTTTCTGTTTTTCAAAGCCTGATTGTCTAGACTCATTAAAAAAGAAGAAGCAGAGGGAAAACACAGGACAGCAACAAGTTGGTTGTGAGATTGTATGGTGATTTTGTAAAAAATTTTTTTAAAAATGAAACAATTCCATGTTAAATATCTTATGTGGAATTGGCCAAATTATTTATTTATGTTTTATTTATTCTCTCCTACTTTCCTCTGGGAGCTCAAGCCAACACATGTGGCAAGGCTTCTCATTTGATTCTCTGGTTGGGCTGAAAGATACAGACTGATCCCAAACCAGACTGTGAGCTCCACAGTTGAGTGGGGACTTGACACTATATCCTAGTGAATCTCACAAACGTTTTACAAATAGTAGTTCATTTTTTTCACAATGGCCATTTCAGATTGGCCACCATTCTTTCAGTTTGCTAGATAGGGATGTCAAGCTAAGAAACAATGTTATGTAGAAGGCAAGTAATGGCTTTGAAGCTATGGACATCAGTCACAGACTGGACTAAGCCTATTGGCAATTTCCATTCCTTTGCTATGCAGGTGTGTCTGCCAGGGAGGGTCAGAAAAAGAGCAGGGCTTTTTAAAAACACAACACAAAAAAGGGGCAGGGCTTCAATGTCATGGTCACAGCCACCATCCTGACTTTTTGGAACCTTCCTCCCCATGCCTAAACCCATGTCCCTATGTCCTTTCCATTGGGTTGAATCTCTTGCTTAGGTGCAAAAGACAGATGTGTATTTATTTATTTATTTATTGGGAACTTCCATTTTCAGCAATGAGAAATGCTGCAGAAGTGATTGTGTTTTGCCCTACAAGTTTACAAAGGGTATTCGTGCAGTCATCAGAAGGAATACCTAACGTATCCGCCTCCAATTCCTGATCTTCTGGCATCATGGGAGGATAGCAGGCCTGAGTAATGGGAACCACATATATATGTCATATCAGGATGTATGTCACCAGGATAAGCAGATAACACAAATCCTATTTACTCTCTGTTTTTCAGTGTGAAACTGAGGGGGCAGGATGCTTAGTAGCTGAGCCCTGATTGGCTGAGAGATGTCTGCTGGCCTATAGTCCAGGAAAGGCATGTTCTGATTGGCTGTCAGTTCCCAGGGAGGGATGCAGCCTGGCAGGACAGGAGGTTCTCTAAGATGGTGAAAATTGATCATTCAAGCCCTGCTTCATCTCTACACAGAAATCCAAAAATATGGGCTCAGGAATGATGGTTGCCCAAAAGTGTTCTGTATCCCAGCACCAACCAGACTGAAATTTAATAATCCTGTTGTTCCTTTGCAGGAAAAATCAAGTCATATGGCATGACAGTGTGAAGCCTAATAGCAAATGAAGAAATGAATGCATTTCTCTCCTCAACCCCACCCTCCGTTTTCTTTTCTTTCTTTTCTCCTTCTCTTTCAGGCCAATGGAATCACTTATGAAAGCAGCTCTAGGAGTTCCTGTCATTGTATATTCCATCTCAAGGAAGCTCAGTCTGAAAATTGACAGTGAATGTACAATGGAACAACCCCAAAACTGACTAAGTGGAGAGCCCACTTAAAAGAAATGATTCCAGATTAATTGGCCGGTATGTTAGAGCAAGAGCCTTGGCTGCACATAAATACCTATGGAATCAGAAAACAAGAGCCATGAATTAAGATGAGAAAGGTGACATGATGGCACTCTTTGGAGAATGTCTGTGGACACATCTTGGCATATAATGGAGCTTATTTGGCAGCCTCACAGTGAATTCATTATGGATTTTACTGACAATTCTTGCATGAGAACTGTGCTTTTCTGGCTTATTGCAAAGGGTACTGTTAAAGTCACAAGCAGGGCTGCAAAAATTCTCCAGGATGTGGTCAACATCAGAACTCATTATATGTGTTAAAGGAATCATTTTCTCATAAAAGACCTGCTGATACTCACACTGATTCACTCTATCACATACAAAGTAAAGCTTGAGTGCGATATTCATCATTTTTATGTATGTGATTTAACAAGATTTTCTTAATTATTTCTCTATAGGAGTTTAGATTTGGGGAGAATTCTTTTCTTTTACGTTGTTTTTTATTTAAACATACAATGATAAAAAGTGCAATTGTTAAAAAATTACCTTAAAAATAGAAAATTAAAATTAAAATCAGAAAACAGAAAACAGAAATCACACCAAAGCAAAAAAAACAAAGAAGCAAAACAACAACAAAACAACCCCACACACAATTTGTGTGTGTGTGTGTGTATGTATGTATGTATGTATTACATACATTTGTAATCTTACGGAGAGATACAGAATTGTAAACATTTTCAAAATTGCTACCAAAAAAGATATATTAAAGGAAGCAAGCTATTATGAATTATTTTATTTCTGTAACCAAAAATGGAATTGGGGCTATTTCTGTCATAAGATTTGACACTAATTCAAAAGTTAACCATATAAGCATTTCCATGTAGAAACTCTAGAGACTGGATAGCCAAACCCCCCAGATATAGCTATGAACTGGCTTCTAGATTTATATCAGATCTTCCACATCAATAAATGTGCATAGTTGATTAATAGTCACATAAAGTTTCCATGAGGGAACACTGGTCATGAGGAGTGGCATAGCTGCTTTTATAAGCCTGGCTCTTATCTGCAAATATTATGCTAGAAATAGCCTTTTTGAACAAAAATGAGTGAAACTGGCCCTCCAGATACCATTGAACTACAACTTTCCAAAGTTTCAAGGCCAGTGATGAGGAATGCTGAGAGTTATACTTCAGCCACATCTGGAAGGTCACAGATTTCCCACCCTTGTTTTTAAATGTGGGCAGGCAGTTTCTGGAGACTGTTGTTCACATTTTAACATTCTTGGCCCCTGAGGATTAGTGGCAGATGAAATGGGAGCAGATGTAAGACAGGAGGATTGACATTTTCATCTGGTTTGTAAAATTTGTTGGGAGTAGGGTAGGATGGGGGGGTTCCAGAGTTTCACTCCTTATTTTTCCAAATACATTGCAAAAAATGATGTTGGAACCCATGTAGTCCACAGCCTGCAGGTTGCCCATCCCTGCTCTAAAAGATCTGAAAAATTCATTTATTTACTCCAAGTTTATTTAATCTACCTTCATCCTAAACTATGAAGACAGCCTTCAAGAAGCATAAAACCAAACATGTCACAAAATAATACAATAACACACTGTCACAATAAATATAAAGGATACGAACAGGAGTGAAAAGAAAACCAGCATAATACCCCAAAATACCTGCTCAAATAAGTAAGTTTTAATCTGACATTGAAATAATGGCAGTGGTGTGCTATTAAACATCAGTGGGAAAGTGTTCTAAAAATAAGATGTCAACAGAGAGAAAAATCTTCTGTGGCCTATTTCTACTATACTGAATTTTTCCTGGCAAAAGGGAAAAAATGTGTGGAGGATAGCTTCCTCTAAAAATGCTTGACAAAGGCAGTCTGGAACAGAATAGATTCTTTTTCAGCTATTTGTCTCCTAAATGGTTTAAGGCTTTAAATATAAGAACTGCTACCTTGAATTAGGCTCAGAATTAAAAAGACATTCAGGGGGCTTCACAAGGTGGAGTGACAATACATGCATCATATCATCAATGTGCAAATGATGTAAATTCCATACTGATGTCATTTTACATCATGTAAATGTATACAATGTCATTTTGAGGTCATTGTGACTGCTACTGGATGCCTGTGTATATTATGGTCCCATCTAATTGTGCCAACTAAAATTCTGCCTTTAACTTCATTTATCTTCAAGGGCAGCCCTATATAGTGAAAGGTTACCAAAGCATGGCTTGCTGTGGTTAGGTTTGCACTCAGTTTGTACTCAGGCAGCGATAAACAGATGCAAAGCACTTTTTTTTTCACTGATTATTCTCAATTTTCTGTGCTAAGAAGATGTGGTATCATGTTCCTGTTCTCTCTTTCACTCTTTGAAAAGTTCTATTTAATACAAAACTCCAATTGTTCCAAAAGCCAGAAGAATAGGCTGCTATGAATTTGTAGTAGATTAATCCCAACATAGCCTGTTGCTTTCCAAACCCAGAATTCACTTAACTTATAGTTGAAAGCTGGCTTGTTAGAATTAATCATATTTAACATTTGTTGTATTTCAAATAGCACAGCAGGCTATGGTTAATCAAAAACAGAAGTTCTACATGAGAAGAGCATAGCATACTGTATATGCGTGCCTTTTCTTGCACACACACATATTATGCACCATCCAGTTAGATCTCCAAGAACTGCCTCATCTGATTTTGCAGTTTTAGGGTACAAGAAAGGGTAATCTCACTTTTGCTATGGAGCTACATGCAACCTTTCACAAGTGTACTTTCTTTTGCATAACATAATTTTCCCCTCCCTTCCTCTCTTCTGAAATCTGTATGTTCTCAAAAACTGCTCCAAACTTCTAGAATATATATGAGGGTTTGGGGGTGGTCCTGAAGGGAATCGACAGAAGCAGTTGTGTTGGGCAAGAGGCATCTATTGGATTTTAACTTTGTTAAAAGAATTCATAGTGACTCACAAGCATGTGTTAAAGGTTGGGGAAACCACCTTTGGAAGGAAGTTATAGAGTATTCTGCAATAAACAGCTGGAGAATTTAACCTTTGTATGAGTGTATCCGGACTGCCAGTATATAAGTATTTGGAGTAGTGTGCCTAATGTGAAGTAGTCCACATATGGGGTGGGTAGAGGGAGGGAATGTGTGATCTCTCATGAAATAAAGAGAATGTGTGGTCCCTGCTGAATTGTTGAAATGAACTCTAGATGAACAAGATTTTTTGTTTTTCAGTGAAGAAGTAACAAGGGAAAAATAACTCTGGAGCTGAAAAGAGAAATAATATACTACCTTTAGAAAGCAACATCTACTGTTCTTGGCTTGGACAATGTACTAAAGCTAAAGTGCAGGTAAGCCAATAGAAGTGATGTCTCCACGGCAGGTACTTCTGAGACTCACTTGTGTGGGTTGAAAGAGTCTGCTCCAATCCGTGGGTGGGGAGCAAGTTTTTGTCATGACACTGCAACATACATTTTGCCTCTTACAAGTTATACGTTTTACTTCTAGGCAGCACTGCAATGCACATACAAAAGGATGGAGCTTGAATTGTGATCTCAAAATGCAAGTGTTGTCATTCTGGCATCATCGGGGTTAGGAACAGATGCCTGTGGCCTACATTTACCTCATTCTCTAGTGCTAATGTAGCTGGGTACTGTGAATCCTAAACTCACCCATTTAATTTTCTATTTAAATAGGAAGGTTTATTCCATACAAGTAATGATAAGGTCAAGGCTGAAGCTTTTCTAACTTATTTATTTGGACTCAGCACCACCATGGATCAAAAGCTTAGAAATAAGTTCCAAGCATCCAGGTGAGATGACACCAGAGGATTCCAGCCTGGCAGATTTATGGAAACTTTAGTTCAACCTGGATCAGTTCAGCTGTCTCCAGGGCTCCTGCAGTGGCAGTCGATGAAAAAAACATCCATATTGGTGGAAGTCTGCTTGCTTAGAAAATGTTTTTACAATGAGACTAAGAAAATATATGAAGTGGACTCCAGTGACTTTCTTGCTTCTTGTCACTACAAGATTCAGAGGCACCACCCCACCAGTGGAAAAAAATCAAAAGAATACTCTGATTTACTGTGTTATGGAAACCATCACAATCTCTGCATAAAAGGGAAGGGAAATGAAAAGGAAACACATCTGGTAGGAGAGAGAGGGTAGGCGGGGGAAGCATCATTAAATCTATAATTCTTTAGTGAAACTTGTCTCTCATGGAATGTTAGTGAAACTTGTCTCTCATGGAATGTTACAGGGGAGAAGAAGTAGGAAGACTCTTGTGTCATCCTGTCCTAAATGTACGCAACAGCTCGCAACAATATTTCAGTAGCAAACATCCGGTAGAAGTGAGAGCCACTGTTGGCCCTTTGATGGTCACTTGTTTTCTAGAATTCACAGATCCATTATATAGCTAAGTGTGATTGTTGCATGAGCTTTCTAAATCAAAAATGGGGGGAAAGGAAAGTTTTTGAAATACAATTAGGCTAACCAGACAATAGCATCCCCACAGCAGTTCTTCTGCTCTTTCTTGATCATGCTGTGGCTTTCCTCCATTTCTCCTCTCATTAATTTGTAACAAAGCTCCCTGCCAGTCTCTCAAGCTCAGCAATCTCCAGCAATTTAGGAGCTCAAGCACAACCCCTTTCTTAGCCCCACAATTTAAAATTCTGCTTCTAAGATAAGATCCTCTCCAAGGCACATTTTCTAGGGATGGGGGAGAAATTAATTCAGTATCTGATTCTTCCCCCAAACTCATCAGTTATGTGAGGCTTTGATTTTCTTCAGTCAGGTGCTTTGTGTCCTATGATTCTTGTTGAACATGCCTCTTCTCAAGGCAGTGCTTCATGTCCTCTTGAGGCCACATCTGGCAGTCCCAGGAACTGACTGGAAGAGTCAGAAGAAGCTTCTCTGTCTCCATAGCAATTAGAACTGCTGGGTGAGAGCTCTAGGGTGACAGTAAGACCACTTTTAGGGGCAAGATGGGTGCATGGGTTCAGAAACCAGTTTCCAAGGGCTATTTTGCATGGTACTTCACAGAAGAAAAATTTTCCTTCAAAGCTTTGCATAACCTTATGATAAGTCAATATAATAGCCAAACATCTTTCAAAAAATTGTTCTGTACTCTGCAACTTAAAATAGGTAGGCAAAAATGCATATATTAGAAAAAAGAACAGGTAAATATTTGTACACTAAAGGAGCAAAAAAGCACAGCCTAGGGACTGCATGCAGCCTACCAGCATCCGTTTTGTAACCCTTGGAGCTCTCCAAATTAGAGGGGTTCAGGGGCAGGAGGGTGCTTTAAGCCTTGTAAATTTTTATAGTCATAATCTGTTTGGGCAACATGATTTTTTATTTTAAAATGGGAATGGGAATGCTCCCATTTCTATCCTTAAAACCATCCAAAAGTACTCCAAATGATGAAAAACATCAAAATGTTTCCACTTTATCCCTTCCAGTGACATCTCAAAGTTACCATGTGCAGCTTGAGGGCATTCAGGAGCAGAGGCATTGGGGGAAGGGGGAATGTCAACATGATGGCTGAAACCACTTGATTGAAGCCCCACCCCTTTTATTTGCACAATAAACAAAACAATAACAAAACCTGGCTTGGCACTTGTGAACCCCTCAACACGTAAGTCAATAACAACATCACTGTCCAATTCAAAGAAGGCTTTTAAAAATCAATTCTTACTTGTTTTATACTGAAATCTTTGAAGTTAATTTTTTAAAGAATGGGCACTAAAATGGTAAACATTTTCTGTATGAAGTATAGTTGCATTGTCAGCAGAACCAAGAGTGTGAAGAATGCTATATATGGGAACCCACTATCACATGGTCAGCCCAGTTGATGAGAACATAGCTTTAAGTCATGTTCTACTAGATCATGACATATTAATCAGTTTGTAGGGTGGGGTGGGTGGAGAGATTAATACTTTGAACAGTTGAAACAGACTACCGAGATCTTTTATATTTTGGTGATGCATTTCCTAGATGTGCATGGTGCAATCCCATAAGATAAACCAATTGCATCAGGGGTTTTCCCCCCATTATATCATCAGCAAGCTAACCTGGAAGATGCTGACTGAATGGGAAAGGCTCATGTGATTGGCTCCAACCACACAATGGATTCATTGCTGCCCAGTGAAATAAAACATGGACAGCAGCTCCTAATCAGTTGTGGCTACATGTGAAGAAGGCCTGATGTATCCTAGCTTTCCCAGTTGCCAATACAGAGTGTCAAATAGAGTTTGCCTAGAATTAGTCCCCCAAATTCCTAAGGATTATGATCAGTGTTCTGAACTCTCATCTCATACTGTATCATGGCGCTGCAGGCCTTCATGATCAGTCTGTTTAAATTAGCAGTGTAAGTGATACATCAGACATATCACAGAAGTTGTCAAATGAATTTTTAGCAGGAAGTGCTATTACCATGGCAGTTTTCTGTGAATGGCCTCTTACCTGTTTTGTTATAATTCATCCTGGATTGTTATGGGCATCCCAATTTTCTGAACACAGCCATGCACAAATAAAGCTGATGAGAAGTGAGAGGTTGATGGCCATTACAGTTCAAAAAGGAGAAAATTCTTCACTCTGTTCCCTGCAGGCACAAGGGTACAGAGAAAGCAAATGTGGTTCATCCAAATATCACTAACTTGTAATATTGTGGGCATTTAGAAACAGATAAGCTGAGAGACATTCAGGCAGATAGATGAGTGCATGAAACAGGAAGTGAATGAACAACATAAAAGCCCATTTGTATTTCTGACAATCCTCACCATTCTGAATATGTTTATGTTTGCATGATAGCTTTGCCTCCATCTAAATCAAATATTTGCAAATGGGTAAGGGCCTTTAGGGCTCCAAGATAACCCATGTGTAACAAAAATGTATGAGTTGACATGCAAATGTCCGATAAGTAGCATGTGTTTTACATAATAGTGAAAGCGTGTATTGCCGAACTTAAACCTATCTATTTTTATACGTTGCTCTTTGAATTGCTGACAGTCTGCTGCTGCATATTTTTTAGAGGCTTGTAAGTTCTGTCATTTGGGCCTGTTGTGCTCTCTAGGTAGATGTTCTCCAAATATCTTTAAAAAACAAACAAACCCAAACCTTGCATTTGCTTCCAAATCACTGATGCTGTAAATGAAACGCTACTACTTCAGTTCTGAACTGCTGCCTGAAACTTTGATCTGAAACATATCCATCCCCTGATCCAGAGGAGCAGGGACAGAGGAGGAGGAGCTCCATGAACTAATCCCCCGTCCCCCCCTTTTTTTAAAAAAAATGCAAAAATGCAAAAAGCTGTTAAGCAGGGAAGGACAACTGGAGGATATAGGTAGAGATCTCCTTTTGCTTTTCCTGCCAACTGGTCAATGGATGAGATTTTTGTTTTTACTGTATAACAAAGCTTCATATGCATAATCCCGTCTAATGGATTGGAGAGAGGAACCATGCATGCAGTACTTATCTGGGCAAGTGGATTACCTCCAAGTAAGTACTTGCTTAAAAGCCTGCTGCTTCTGAATACTTGCCTATGTTTGTGGTCGTATTTTAGAAGCAATATTTGAACAATTATTCTGCATCTGTTGATTTCATTGTTCTGTTAGGGAATTGTAGTGCCCTGTACAGAGCAAAGACATTTCCCCCCTTTCTTCCTGCTACCTAAGTACTTAAATGTTCTACGTTATAGTCAGCAACACAGCACTGGATTGTATCACACTTATTTTTTTTATTAAAACTTTTATTAAGATATATAAAAAGTACAAATCAAATACAAATCAAAAAGAAGAGAAGAGAAAAAAGATAGAACTAAAAGAAAAAGGCAGAAACTAAGATAGTGAGAATAGTTAGAAAGATGAAACAGAAAATGACTTCCGACTATCTCCAATACAGATATGAATACAAATTTGGAAAAAGGTTATTTCTTACCACTAATTAATCCAAATTCACATTATTTCTATCAACACAAAGCACGTGTCACACTTAGATGTCATCAGTAGATCCCCACATTTAAACAAAAATATTTATTTATATAATTTATTTAATTTATAGGCCACCCAACTCACAAACAACTCTGGGCTGCTTACAACTAAAAAAACAACATATGAAAAGAATGCAACAGATCAGAAGAGCAAAATACAAGAACAAAACTAATTAAAAAAAAAAAAACAGGTGAAACCAAACCAAACAGAAAGGGCTTGACAGTCACCCTGTCCCCAAGACCTGGAAGAACAACCAGGTCTTCAATACTTTCCTGAAAAAATGAGGGTGAGAGTCACCCACATCTCTGGAGGACAGGAGATCATTCCAGAGGGCAGGAATTTCCACAAAATAGGTGTGCTTCCTGGGTCCTGCAAGATAACATTCTTTAATTAATGGGACCCAGAGCACTCCCATCCTACTGGACTAAACAAGACAGGCAGAGACAACTGGAGATAAGCACTTCCTGAAATAGCCAGTCCCTATGCCATGAAGGGCTTTAAAGATGATCACCAGCATCTTGAATTGCACCTGGAAGCCAACATGTGCATAGCATGGTGCCCTCATCACTGCCTATGCCAACATGTTCTGGACCAGCTGTAGCTCCAGATGATCTTCAAGGGCTGGCCCATGTAGAGTGTGTTACAGTAGTCTAATCGTGAGGCAACTATGGCATGAGTGTCTGAAGGTCTTCCCAGATCAAAAAAGGATGCAACTGGAGCACTTCAAGGTGGTCCAGACAAGAAGTACCAACCATGAGTACTAACACTACCTTTATTGTGAGGTTACAGTAACAAAATCTTACAAGTCTGAAAGTACCTCTCCCCTCCCTTACTTTTACTCTCCCAAAAACTAGGGAGGGTCCCTTCTGCGATACTTTTGCCACCCCCACCCCTCCTTCGGACTCAGATTTTATTTATCAGACTGTTTTGCAAGCTGCAGCTCTTCTTCTTGTCTCCTGAGGTCATTCCCACGTACCAATACATACCTGTGCATGAGTATCCTCTTGGGCACAGCTTCTACCTGCTCTGTGATCCAAAATGTTTAAAAAAATAGTCAAGGCCATACTCTTTAAAAAATTAAATCATCTGAGATCTCACAAAATTTGGCCATTTTTTGAGATTTCAG